AAAAAAAAATAGTTTTTCAGTCAGCAATATAATGCAGATGTTCAGGGTAAACACCTCTGTTGTGTCCATGGGCTTACAAGAAATCTGAGAACGTAAACATCAGTAGTGATCGCTGCGTGAAAATGATAGCACATCTTCAAAGTTATCCTATTTCAGTTGGTACAGAGTCGTAAAACAGTTTACATCAGCAAGTAGTATCCGCCTCTCACGTTACGGCCACCGGCCCACTGCTAAAGGGACACAGGGCAACGGGAGACGTTAATTCGCAGCGCTCGGCCCGATTGGTATGGCGGCTCAGTTTTGGCGAGTCTTTGCCGTTGGCCGTATAATTTCTTCATTCTGCGGCTGGGCTAGTAACAAAGATGTGCCGAAACTAAATGACTCATACAATGAGTCGTGGTGAAATATGAGTGATTGTGAAATAGCAAGAATTCAGAATTTGTTTATTAGTAAAATTACGAAAATATTAAATCGTTGTCGTATGGTTATTTGTAATGCTTTAAGACATATGGTAAATTATAGAAAAGCGTAGAGTATAGGTCGTCCGAAAGCAACCATTGATCGTCACGACGTGCAATTTTAAGAATTGCATCAATGTAATGTACAGCGTATTGTAAATAATTGTAAATACATAAAACGCTGGAAACTTATGCGTAAACCATCACTGACAAAGTTGCACGAAGAAGGTTGATTATAATTTGCAGAAAAACATATTCACTGGGAAAAGAAATGGCGAAGAGTCATTTTCAGTAACGAAAAAAGATTTACGTTGGATGGACCAGATAAATATCAGTATTATTTTCATGGTTGACGTAAAGAAACAGATTTTAAATCGTCGACAGCAAGTCGTGGATGAATAATGATGTGCGCTAGAATCGACTTTTACGGCAACGATACAATTAAGCTTAGAAATGGAAAAATGAAAAGCTCGAATTATATTAATTTAATAGACGAACAATTAAAGAAACATGCAGTAAAAATTGCAAGGCAAATTTTTATTTTTCAACAGAACAATGCTAGTATTAAGAAAGCAAAGTATGTACAAGAAAACTTTAGACTACAAAATATTCAAATTTTAGAGTGGCTGGCTGTCACCAGTCTTGAACATCATCGAAAATTGTTGGGCATAGTTAGCAAGAATAGTATATGCTAAGGAAAGACAATTTCTAACCGTTAAAGATTTAAAAAACTGTCGAACGAAACTGGACATTATTAAGCAAAAAATTGGTTAAAAAGTTAAATCTGTTCCAAGACGCTTATTGTCAGTTATACAAGCAAAATGAGAAGCTACAAGATATTGAAATAATATTTTCTTTTAAATGTCACGTAATTTAAGAGGAATGTGCTATCTCTTTAACGCACTAATTTTTCACTTTCCAGTACATATTGTAAAATAAATATTTTAAATATTTTCTTTTTGTAATTAATCTGTTTAAATACATTAAAATAATTTGTTATTTTTATTAAACAATATAAACATCAAAAGTAGTTCAATATAGTTTTAACAGTTAAAAACATCTTATTTATATGGTGTGCTATCTTTTTGTCGCTGAGTGTATCATATACATATGTAATTTCTTATTGAAATTTTTAGATATTAGTTGCATCCCTCCATAATATTATGTAAATAATAGGTTAATTTTCTCAAAAAGACATATTAACACCAATGTTTTTTTAGGAGGAATCGAAAACGGATGGGAAATCTTTATTGTAATAAATGATAGAAAATTCGATAAAAGTCGAGTGATTAAATAATCCTCGAATTCGAAAATACAAAAGGATTTCATGCTCACTGTATGTTTACTTTAATGCATACCAATTAACGCATTACTTAGCGGCATCCGATTAATAAACTCTACATCGCCAGTGTTTAACGACTGGTTGTTCATAAATAAGCTGTTTAAATCTTAAATGTTCAATGTTTCTAACATTAATTGTAAATTCTTATAAAAACTGTCATTAACACTAGGATAATTCGGACATTTATAAGACAGTTTAATCTATCATTCATAGAAAATTTAAAGTCCGTTCATTTGCATCTTGGAAATTAGAGGTTCAAATTAGGATACGTATTTGTATAATTCCATCAATTAAAATCGATATAAATATTTACCAATTAATATTTGTAAAATTCAATATGCATGAAATTGACACGTTTCGTAAACCTAGTGTCGATAACCATTAATGACTTACAAATATAAACGATGTCTTAAGCTTTTTGTTTCATTTCATTCATTGCCAAGCCATATTAAAAAATCCCGATATACAAAAATATTCAAGCTTAAACGGATTGCTCTTTGTATATGTGTGCACCGTTTAATTCACAGTCGATAAGTAATGTGCTAATTAACAAGAAAGTATTCAATTTGAGTGCAAAAATATTGCATGACAATTTATATTTGTTAATATTTGAAATCTTTGCAATTAGATCTTTGAATCTAGCCCAGATATTTTCAGGCGAAGAATTAAAGAAAGTTTCAACTTTCGGGATATTTGCTAGTTTGGGAGAAATAACAGTTTCCTATGATTTCTTTCATATTATTAGTAGGAACAGGAATATTCCGGGTGGTCGATTTCAAAAGGCAGGACTTAGTATATTTTTCGGATCCGATTCGTATTTGAACATAACGATACGGCTTTCCGCCCGGAGCCTAATTAAGTTCGGTTTTACCGAAGGATAATGAGAGAGAGCTACGGGAGGCCTGAGAGATCGGCCTTGATATCCGTTCCTTCTTGGATTTCCAGTTCATATCATCAAGTAGAGTGTAACCTATCGTGCTTCAGTTCAAAACCAAGAATTTTGGGTTTTCGTTAGTGATAATTAGGCTCTTATAAAAATACAAACAGTTATGAATTATTTTGAAGGAACTGTTTTTGTTTAATCTTACATCGAGGTCAATATAAAATAATATCTGTACACTTGTCATTTAACTTTTTATAATATGTCATTTTCTACAATTGGTATATGTTATCGTATGCAACATCTAATTGTATTACAATACCTCTATCCATGGTTTTTTAAATCGTTCGTTTAGAAATAAATACTTGTTTATGACTGTTTGCACAAGTATTGTTGCCTTTCAAAAGTTGTGCGTTTTTTAATTCTAAAACTGTTTCAAAATTACCTCCCCTCACCCCGCCCTTCAGT